AGCATGCAGCCAGTGCTGTTAACCCCTTGAGGCTTCTCTCCAGCCCCTCCTTTTTGGATTTTGAGATGGAGTCTTACTTTATAGCCAGGACTGACCTGCCTGGAATTCGTGGTGATCCTTCAGCCTTAGCCTCCAAAGTGCTGGGGTTATAGGTATGTGCCACCATGCCCAGCCATGGAGTTACTTTATGGCTTTGGATGCCTTCAGCAAGTACAGCCTTCTTAGCAGTCAAATGTTTTCTCCAGCTTTGGGAAGGGCAGCAGCTACCTTCTTTGCCTTCTACACCTTCTTGGTACAAAGCTTATTAGAAAAAGACCTATTGGGGCTGGAGAGATGGCTCAGCAATTAAGAGCACCAGCTGCTCTTGCAGAGGACCGGGGTTCGATTCCCAGCACCCACATGGCGGCTACGAACCATCCTTAACTCCAGTTCCAGGGGAATCCAAAGCCGCCTTCTGACCTCTGCGGCGTTGCACGACACGGGTGCACTCACATGCATGCAGGCAATACACTCATACATATAAAAGTAATAAAATACTTTTTTTAAAAAAAAGACCTTTTACTCCCCTTCTAGCCTCTTTTCAGTGCTGGAGATTGAGCCTTGCTAGACAACCTTTTACGAGCTGTATCCCCAGCCCAAAAGTCCTCATTTTTAAAATACAAGGTTTGATTCAGAGTAGGGATTCTGTCTTCTCATTTTGGTATTTCCATAGTTCCACGTGTATTCATCTTGCATAGAGTCAGTGTTCATTATACTTATAAATTTTTCAACTTAAATTGTTGGATAGTTTAACAAATAACATTCTAAGTGACTTGGTATTTCTGCTTTCTTGGTATTTTTGCTTAAATTTGTCACAATACTATGCTTAGTGTAGTACCAAACGTTTTTCTCAGTAAACACATGCTACATATTGATGTCCTAAGATTTTCTTTGAAGATTCTGTGTAATGAGTGTGGTTGGCAGCAGCTCCTCAGATTGTTACTGAGAAACTTGTTTCTTCTGCATCTCCCACCTTTGTTTACTTTGGTACTCCATGAATGTTCCTTAAATACAGGAAGTTCAAGAAGTTCCAGCAGTGAGAGTGACCTGATGAGAGATAGGCAAGTTCTGTAATCTTTTCTTTTTATGTTGAACTTTAAATGTGAAAGAGCTGGTTTCTAACTCAGATAAGAGACCCTCTAACTTTGTGATTCCAACCCTTAATGCAAAGTTAAAAGGAATTGAAGCAGTGTTTACCTGCTAATGCTAATTAACTTTTAAAAAACTTTTGTTTTACATGTATGAGTATTTTTCCTGCATCTGAAAATGCACCTGTGTCATGCAAAGCCTATGGAAGACAGAAGTAGGCATTAGATCCCCTGAAACTGGAGTCACAGATAGTTGTGAGCTGCCCTGTGGGTGCTGGGAATCAAACCAAAGTCCTTTGGAAGACCAGCCAGTGCTCTTAACTGTTGAGGCATCTCTCCAGCTCCCAGGACTTTTTTTTTTTTTTTTGACAGAGCCTCCCTTTAGCCCCAGCTGGCCTAGAACTCACTATGTAGGCCTCCATCTTATAGAAATCTGTCTTCCTTTGCCTCCTGAGTGCCAGGATTAAAGGCATCCTTTTTTTTTTTTTTGAGCAGTGTCTAGATAATTAAGTATAAATTCAATTTTAGAATAGTCTTAGATTAACAGACACTGTAAAGGTTTTTTTCTGATTCATCTGGAATACAGAGGAACACAGTTACATTTGCTTAATAAATAATATGCCATACCAGTACTCAGAAAGCTGAGGCAAAATGGTGAATTTGAGGCTAGCCTGGGCTACCTTTTAGTGAGTCCCTAACTCAAAAAAAAACAAGAGAAAGAAAAGGTAAAAATAAAAAAAGCATTAGACACCTCTGAGCTATGTCAGTTTCCTTTGAAAACAATCGTCTTTTACATCATTGTTTTTCCTACATTCTTTTGTCTTAATATTCTTCCTTGGGAAAAGTTAAAAGGTCAGCCTCCCAACTCTAAACATGTCTGTCTGTGAATTCCTAAACTCTAGAGAGAACCACTGCCTTTTAGAGAGAAGTCAGTGTGATTGCCGCTAACACAGAAAAAGACCCATATTTTCAAACTTCTGTTTTTGTTTTGCATCTGTTTGTGCATGTGTGTGGGTAAATCTATGGTATAGTGTGCATGTGGATCTCAGAGAACAACTTGGAGTCAGTTTTCTCTGTATACCATGTGGGTTCCTAGGACTGATCGTGTCCTCAGGCTTGACAGTAAGTACCTTTACTCGCTGAGCCATCTTGATGGTCCCTGTGTTGTAATTGTATAAAAATATGTATATTACTAATAAAAGAGAAAGAATGGATTTTATTTATTTATTTATTTATTTATTTATTTATTTATTCCCAAAGGAGATAGAACTCAGGGCCCACACATTCTGCCACTTAACTATGCCATTAACAACCCAAGAATGTGAGTTTTTTAGTTAACTTTAGAGTTAATTAGAGAGGAACAGTTTGTGATAGGAGTTTTGAGTCTCCATTAGGGACACTAGTGTATGTAGAAAGCCACAGGAAGATAGGAAGTTGTAAACACACGAATGACTGGATGCATGCTATCATCCCATCACAGAGATATTCCTTAGCATTACTACCAGCATAAAAGTATGATGATAGAGTTGGGCATGGTGGCTTTAATCCCAGCATTTGGGAGGATAAGACAGGCAGATCTCTGTGAGTTCAAGGCCAGCCTGGTCTACATAGTGAGTTCTAAGGCCAGCTGGGGCTACAGGGAGACCCTGACTCAAAAAGATGAAAAAAAAAAAAAGTATGATGATAGATGCTTTTAGCTTTTTTTCATCTTTAAATTAAACAGCAAAAAAACCCTTTTGGATGAGTAAAAATTGTATCCATTTCCAAAGTTAATGCCTGATACTGGCTTTAAAAGTCCTTTGTTTCTTTTCCTGAATCCTTCAAAAATTTTTCATTTCAAAAAGTTAATTCTCACACCAGAATTTTAGGATTAGTGTGAGCTAGAATCCCTCCATTGGTCTGTTTTTCCTGGAGTTGCTGTTGCCTCCGTCCCACACCCTCCTTCCTTGTTCACTCACTCACTGGAGTCTGACTTGGGCTCCCTCACCTCCTCTCAAGCTGTGTGGGCAGCATTACCAACGATGTCTTAATCATTCAGCTTCCTTTTTCTTCAGTTCTCATCCTTTTGGCAGCATAGAAAATAATTCCTTTTGGAATCTTCTTTCTGATTTCCTGTCACGTTCCTATTCGTGTCTTCCTTTTCTCCCGGGCATCTTAGATGGCCCTGAGAGCTCTCTCTTGCCCTTACTTACTCTCCTCTCTGCCATGCATTTGGTAGGCAGTCTCAGCTGCAGCCTTAGCCTCAATGCTTGCTGGACTCCAGTTTCAAATCTAGCCTCTTTCCTAACTGTAAACAAGCAGAACCTGGAGGAGAGGCTGAAGCAGAGGCTTTGAAGGAACACTGCTTACTGGTTTGCATTTCTGGCCTGTGCTCAGCCTGCTTTTTTATCCATCCCAGGACCACCTCTTCAGAGTTAACATCACCCACAGTGAACTGGGCCCTCCCACATCATTCAACCATCAAAAAAATTCCTCACAGACATGCTCATGGGCCAGTGTAATGGAGGAAATGCCTCAATTGAGATTACCTCTTCCTAGGTGTGTCAAGTTGACAACCAAGGCTGGTAGTCTTATCTAAAAATGAATCATTGTATTTAATGACTATCAAGTCTAATTTGCGGCCATCCACCTTCACGGCCCTCGCCCCAGGGCTGGTGAGGAGACTGTGTCAGCGGAGCTGCATTCAGACACAGGAGACCAGGTTCAGTGACACAGGTCTATTGAGGAATTTACAAGCTTAATAGGGTCCCTGGACCAATCAGACAGGGATACAACAACAGTGCCATATATGGGCAGCCCAGGTTCCAGTAAATCATGTGACCATGGCTGTTGTTATGCCCATGTGCTGCAAGCTGTAGATAACTGCATCCTGGAATTTCAAGGGGTGGTGACTAGGGAGTGGCAAGCCAAATGGAGCGATAATCACAAGGCCTTCCTTGTGGCTCCAGGGTCAGGCCATTGCCTCAGGCCTGCTGTATGGCTGTCATTAGGACTTCCACTCTAGGCTCAAGCCTGTCTCCCACATAATTGAGTCTTACAACTTAGTAAAACTAGTAAATAGCCCTTGGCCATCATTAACAAAATGAAAATCAAAGGAATTTAAAATCATTTGCCTGTTAAAGGAGTGCCTTTACCTTATTGGAGATTCACTTACAGTCCTGGAAGACAGTGAGTATGCAAAGAATCTGTATTCTTGCCACTAGTGAAAATTTTTCCACTGAAGATTAATACAACTGTGAGAGATGGTCTTGTGAATTTGAGGACAGAATATGTGTTCCTCCAGGAATATAATCACGTTACTATCTATAGGTCAGGAAATCAGTTGGAACTGTTAACTGGTACAAATAAAGGATCAAGTGGTATATATCTGTGACATGAATCAGAGTCTTTTGAGAACAAATGTCTCTGAAACCAAGTTGATCTAGATACGGAAGAAGTTGAAAATGAGCATAAGTCTTTGCTATCAAACATGGCAGTCACATGTTAGCTACACACACTTCTTGTTCACCCAGTAAGAGGCCATCCTAAAAGAAAGCAAGGCACCTACAGGAATGAGAAGCAAGGAATTAAGGAAAGTTCTGTAAGCCTCCCATCTGATTGTTTTTCCCTTATAGCATATCTCAAAAGGTGAACTATTTCTTTAGAAGGTATGATTTAGTTCATTTATATCCGAAGATAATATACCTATTTACCTATGAAAGAAAAAGCATCAGTGTTTGAACTGTTCTAATAATTAAATAGATTGGGTCTATGTGCACTTTGAGGCCAATTATAATATATGTAATCTAATTGATTATGTAAAAACTAGTAGTGAAGTAACATCCAACAACTAGGCTGTTGACCAGTATTGCTTCTTATTTTGTTTGATCTTAGGGTTTTGACCCACCACATCAGAGTGACACAAGAACTGTTTACATAGCCAATAGATTTCCTCAGAATGGCCTTTATACACCTCAAAAATTTATAGATAACCGGATCATTTCATCTAAGGTAAGGATAAACAGTTTTATTATTTAAACTATAGATATAGGACTGGGGATAATTTAGGTTGGTGGAGTGCTTCCCTAGCATGTATGAAGCCATGGGTTCAATCCATAGTAACACATAAACTGAACAATACAATGTATGCCTATAATCTCAGCTCTTGGAAGTTCAGCATTATTTTTGGCTACTTAAGATTGGGGCCAGCCTGGGATATATGAGACCCTGTCTCAAGAGCAAAATTAACAGTAACAACAACAACAAACAAAAACCTATAAATGTGTACCATCTAAAAATGGTTGGATTTGTGCAGATGTACATTTATATTATTACAAGGTCAGGAAACTGATAATTGATTTATCTTAACCAAAATGATATGTGAAAGAAAGGAGTTGCCAGTTGCTCCCAGCCTGTCACTATGTCAAGTAATTGTCTTCAGTTGCAGCTCTGCTTCCACACGGTGTTTATACTGACCGCCTGTAGTTGTATTTGTGTCTTTTCATGTTATAATTTGATTTTTGCAACAACCCATGTAAAGTAACTATTTTTTAAATCTAGCTTACAATGTGCTATATTCGTATTATTACAGTTCTTTAAGTGCTTGGAAATTGAATAATATTCCCAAGATTGTAAGTGGCTAGATTGGAATTTGAACTTATTTCCATGTGACTTTAAAGCCTCCCTGCTCCAGTTTTGAATCTTCAGCAAATATTTTAAAGTAAAATATTGCTTCATTCTTACTTATTTTTTCTTGTTTCATTTTTTTTCTGCGACTTTTGAAGATGTCCTGTTTTTTAATGCTGAGGATTATAGAGCAATGTTGTCTAATAGATTTTTCTTTCATGATAGAAATGTGCTCCACAGTGTCCAGTGTGATAGTCAATAGCCACATGTGACTGTTGAGGCCTCGAAAGTAGCTGGTACAACTGAGAAACTGAATTTTTAAATTTTACTTAAATTTAAATGTCAAGAGCTCTATGTGACTAGTGACCCCTTATTAAACTACATGTTGATAGAGGATGTGAGTCAGAGATTGAGGGCAAAGTTCTCCTTAGCCTGGCTCTTGCTGATAGGGCCGTAAGAAGCATTGTTATATGCTCCGTCACTGTCTTCCAGAGACACTGCTAATGCTTTATTCTTACCCTGAGTTCATCTTTCCCAAGATCCCAGCCCAGCCCAGCAGTCCCTTTGCCCTGGTCCTGTTCTCTTTCCACCGTCTCATTATTTGTATGTGTGACCTTCTCACTGATGATTCTTTTTTGTTTGTTTTTTGTTTTTTGTTGTTTTTTTAAACAGCCTCTTTTAGTTCCCAGCTATATTTGGGACACTTTACAGGTTTTAAAATAGTTTTAAACTCTAATTATTGTCATTCTTATCTGCTGGGACTTCACAGGTCTACTTAAAACTCTTTAGCTGATGCTGGAAACTGAGTATCCTGAAAACTTAAAACTTCTAAAATATTTTATGTGTATGAGTGTTTTACCTGCATGTATATAAGCGCACTATGTGCATACAGTGCTCACAGAGACCAGAAGAGGGTGTCAGATCCCCTGGAACTGGAGTTACTGATGATTGTTAACTGCCATGTGAGTGCTGGGAATGGAACCCCAGTCCTCTGCAAGAGCAGCCAGTGCTCTTAAGTGCTGAGTTATTGCTCCAGCCCAAAACTTATGAGATTAAATAAGTACTTTTATATGGCAGTTTTTATATACAGCACATTCAATTTTAATGTTTCTGACTAGAGTTCCAAAACTGTAAGAGTTTAAATAACCATTGCCTCGTTAAATCTTTTAACATAAGGATTTTCTCACACTTTTCCTAATTTGATTATACCCCAGTTGTTTCTGGAACCTCTTAGATTTCTTGTAGTCCCACAGCTCACAGTGAACTAACTCTTCCCATTGAGCCTTGACTGGATTCCATGCTTCTACCATGGTTCTTAACATGTGCACACCTTTAATCCCAGCACTCAGGAGGCAGAGGTGAATCTCTGGTGAGTTCAAGGCCAGTTTAGTCTATGTAGTGAGTTCTAGGCCAGCTGGGGCTACAGGGAGACCGTGTCTCAATAAGATCGGAAAAAAAAAAAAAAAAAAAAGGTATAGATATCTGCTGCTAATTTTCTCCTGAGCATCAATAAAGCTGACCTCATATTACTTTTAATTCCTGGAATTGCTCTGAGATGCTGTTCAGGCTGCATTGCCTTCTGTTCCACGAAGCCACCATGAGCTGTTCTCACACTTCCTGATCTCTGCTGCCCTGTCTTCCAGAAACGCTCTTTCACGTGCCCTGACTTCAGCCTCCTTCATTATGCTTTTCTTTCTACGGGCTTTTTCTTTGAGTGATTTTGTGTGATTATCTTTGACTACAACTATTAATATTTAGTTCTAAACTCTGTGATTTACTAATAAGCTTACTAGTTTCCCTTATTCTTTGTGTTTTACATGTTGTAGATAGTTCATAATATATCTTAGCTTAATTTCATTGTCCATAGTAGCTACCTTATATTAAATTTAAACTTCCTTGAAGCATTAATTTTACTATTCTATCAATGTTAGAAGTTAGGAGACAAGGTCATTTATAAAGTCATACATAACTATAGGGAAATTTTATCAACTCACTTGTCTTAATGACTATTACGTAGTGATTAGGATAACATTAACATTCAATAAAATTTCTTAAAAATATTTTCATATGCTGGGTATGGTGGTGCCTGCCTTTAATGCCAGTGCTTGGGAGGCAGAGGCAGTCAGATCTCTGTGAGATTGAAGCCAGTCTGATCTACATATCAATTTCCAGGCCAGCTGGGACTACAGGAAGACCCTGTCTCAAATAAAAAAAAAAAAAACACCAAAAAATATTTTCATATTTAATAGTATGTCTAGGGAGGCCAGACACATCAGAGCTTGCTGTAGCTAGATGTATAGGTGTTTGTGCGCCAGCAGATCCGGGTTCTAGGAATTGAACTTGGGTCCTCCACAAGGGCAGTACATGCTCCCAAATGCTGAGCCATCTCTTCATCCCCACCTCCACCAAGGAAATAGCTTGAAGCCAGTTACCTTACTGACAATTTATACAATTATTCTCCTTAAGATTGTAGTGGGAGGGACTGGAAAGGTTCAGCAGTTAAAGGCACTTGTTGTTCTTCTAGAGGACCCAAGTTCATTTCCCAGCACTCACCTGGCAGCTCACAACCATCTGTAACTCCAGTTGCAGGGATGTAGTGCCCCTCTGGCCACTGTGGGCATTAGGCATGCACACACAGGCAAACCACTTATGCACATAAAATAAATATAAATAAATCTTAATATATTGCCACTGTCATAATTTATTTATTTTTTTATTTTTTGGTCTTTTAGAGACAGGGTCTCCCTGTAGCCCCAGCTGACTTGCTATGTAGACTAGGCTGTCCTTGAACTCATAGAGATTCACCTGCCTCTGCCTCCTGAGTGCTGAATTAAAAGTATGCGCCACCACGCCCAGCTGTCATAATTTATGTAGGTGTTTGTAAACATAGGGCATTGCCAGCCTAATTCATAGGAAGTTTTATACATTGATATGATGACTAAGGAATTTACATGAAGATATTCTGACCCCTGTAGGAACAGCTGCTTTTTCCTCCAATTAAGATGAGCTGAAAAAGGCTGGGGAGATGGCTCAGCTAGTAAAATGCTTCCTGAAAGCACAAGGACCCTGAGTTTGGATCTTCCACGTAAAAGCAGAGCACAGTTGCACATGCCTGTAATCCTAGTGCTATGGAAGCAGAGCTAGGAGGCTCCCTGGAGCATTGGCCAGCTTGACTGACTCAAAAAATAAGGAACAGAACAATTTGGAATACACTCATTATTGGCCTTTGGCCTCCACACACATGTACACATGTGTACACAGCCATACCAACACATACACACAACAGAGACACACACAGATCAGCTAAAGATAACTATCCAGTTCTACCATCCTCCATAAATGCTAAAAGGATGACTTCTTTAGGTTGTAGAAAGTACCTGCCTCTCTTTTCTCTTGAACCCTGAACATAATTTTCATTTCCAGATTCTGGAGCTATTTGTGCTGATACTACTAACAGAAAATACACATTTCATATGTCTCAGGTTAAAAATAGAAATGTAATTTCACCTAAGAAAGAAAAGTTGTTAGATGTGCTCTGTATACTTCTGGGTATAGGCCTTAGTGGACTCTTCTGGGAACCTAGTTCTGTTTATGAAATTGTTTGTGTGGGAAAGGATTATTCAGGTTTCAAACAACTAATTTAGAAGTAACTTTTGACATATAAAAATTTCAGAAATTAAAACAGACCAAAAGAACAGAAACAGAAAAATTCAGAAATTAGAAGCATCTTACTTTATACAGAGAAAATTAAGTAAACTGCCTTTTTTAAAGATCTTAATCAGTAACCAGGAAACAAAAACTCTCTTTTCATTTTTATTTATTTATTTATTCATTGAGTCTTCAGAGTCTTTGATTCTCAACTCTTCCAAGTAGTATAAGCACTAAAGGTAGCGAAGTGAGCAGAACAATGGGCGAATATAGACAGACAAAAATTCTGTAAACTGAGTTTTCATATATAATGACGTGAGTGATGATATAAATAATGCGTATTGCTATACCCTTATGATATAGCATAATAAGCTTATGAGTTAACTACTACTAATTAACAAACATGCAACAATTAATACAAGCCATCTTCTACCCTAAGTGCTTACAAATAATTGGCTCATGTATACTTATTAAGTCCTCTAAAAGAGATGCTTATCATCACTCTCATTTTTCAGAGAAATGAAATGGGACACAGAGATTAAGCCTAAGGTTATTTAATGAATGTTGCGTTAGGATTGAGCCATAGGAGTTTAACTCCCCATATGTGCTTTTGACCATCATACTCTACCCAGGCTTACCTTTTAAAATGGACATTGTGGCAGTTTCATGTCCTTCATGAATTTTGGGGGTGATTATCCAGTGATCACTTTTCTAACATTTTTATTTTTTTTAACATTCTAGGTCATTACTCTATATATCATATAGAAAATAATTGCACAATTAGACTATTTCTTTTGTTTCTGACACTGGGCTAAATAAAATACAAATTTTAGTCTAGGTAGCATTTCTATCAACTCATTCATTTTTTCTCCTTTAATTTTATGTAACCAAAACCCAAAATACGTTAGTAAAATATTATTTTAGATCTATTTTCTCTAACTTCTAAAAAATCAGCAATTGAATAGCAAAATTAATAGGTTTCATATCTCATTTTTAAAAATGTACTAAAATTGTCTGGGGCTGGAGAGATGGCTTAGTGGTTAAGAGCGCTGGCTGCTCTTCCAGAGGACCTGGGTTTGATTCCTAGCACCCACACAGCAGCTAAAAACTGTCTATAACTCCAGTTCCAAGGGATCTGATGCCCTCTTCTGACCTCCATCGCAATATACTCAAACACATGAAAAAATAATAAGTGCAACATTTTTTAAAACATAAATAAAAGGGGCTGGAGAGATGGTTCAGTGGTTAAGAACACTGGTTGTTCTTGCAGAAGACCCGGCTTCAAATCCCAGCACCCACGTGGCAGCTAGCAACTGTCCGTAACCCCAGTTCCAGGTGATCCGACAGCCTCTCCAGTCCTCAGTGGGCATTGCATAACATTTACCTACATGCAGGCAATACATGCATACACATAAAAAAAGAATAATCAATAAAATATTTGAAAAAAATAAATGAAAATAAAATTTATAAAAAAAATATATAAATAAAAATGTACTAAAATTGCCAATGAATAGCAAAGGAAGAAAATAAGAAAGTAGAATAGCAGTGTGAAATTCTAGAAACTAGAGGATGAGAGGTGACTCATCAGTTAAGAACACTGGCTGCTCTTGCAGGACATCTGATGCCCTCTTTTGACCTCCGTGGGCATTGCATGTCATATGTACATATAGGCAAAACACTCATATAAAAAAATTTAAAATTCTGGAAACCAGATAGTTTTTATAGCATTAAGAGTTATATGAATTTAAGAGATTAGCAGATCTCATCTTACTATTTTTATAATTGCATCTATATACTATATTTTGTTTAAAATACTTATTTCTCCTTTCTTCTTTTCTCCCCTAGTATACTGTATGGAACTTTGTTCCAAAAAACCTATTTGAACAGTTCAGAAGAGTGGCAAACTTTTATTTTCTTATTATATTTTTGGTTCAGGTAAGTTTTATCACTCAAAGCATTATTTGTAAATTTAACTTCTCAAAATATATCTCATAATAAGGAAAAGCCAGATTATATTCTTAGTTGTTTGATTATAGGATTTTTTTTCTGCAATTTTCCCATTCATGAATAGATGATCTAAATCACATCTAGATTTCTAAAAAGTAGGCTATAAATTTTAAAATCAGTTGTATTTTGTTTCTTTACTAGAGTGTTGTAGTGCTGATAGCTGTAATCTAAGCTAAGACTATTACCAGTTTTCAGATGCTTGCCTCAGAATATAAATGTTTTATCACCATTAGTGTATAGTGCATGCTTTCGGCACATGTCTATCTACGGAATCATCTTTATACAAAATTGTATGTATTAATATGTATTTCTATGTAATGTATATACATATTTGGCTTTTTAAGTTTTTTAATTTAAGTTTTGTTTTAGCTAAGTGTAGTGGCATGAGTCTGTAGGCACAGATACTCGGGAAGCTGAGACAGAGGAGGGTTGCTTGAGACCATCTTGGACAACATCGCAAAACATCATTCCAATAAACAAATTTCATTTAAATTAAGAATTTTTTTATGGTTTTTTTTTTTTTTACTCTGTGTGTATGAGTGTACTGCTTGCATGTATATAAGTTGCACCTGTATTCTTAATGCCCATAGAGGTCAGAAGAGGCCATCAGATAGATCCCTTGAAACTGGAGTTACAGATAGTTGTGAGCTGCCATGTGGGTGCTGGGAATTGAACAAACCAGGTTCCTCTGCAAGAGCAGCCAGTGCTCTTAACCACTGAATCATCTTTGCAGCCACTAACTTTAGAATTGTTTTAGCCCCTTTCTCTCCCTCCTTCTCTTTTCCTTCCTTTTGTTCTTTCTTATCTCTTTTATTTATCTACCCATCTATCTTAGAGTCTCATTTTGTATTTCCAGGATAGCTATGAACTCACTATCTTTCTGCCTCTGCCCCTTCTGGAATTACAGATGTATATCGCCACACTCAGCTAGTTATTCTCATTTTTAAGTGTCCACATGACTGGAAATCCTGGAGGTCTTTTTCTGGGCTTAAATCTCTGTTTGTTGTCATAGGTTGTTAATTTTTGTGCTTTTTAAAATATATATCAGAAAAGCCCATGAAAGTCAATATGTAAACGTCGTGATTATCATTTTCATAAAGAGGTTAGTCGTTTCTAATAAAACAGCTTTTTAGAATTTTCCTCCAGTGTTGCATTGAATTTTTGAATGAGCTCTTTTGTCAGTAGAGCCTAGGATTTCAAAAGAAAAGTTACAATTAGTCAAATAATCATTTTAAAACTTAGGAAATATTTAAACTTTTTTTAAAAAATTGTCTTTCTTCATGAGTAGCAAAAGAACTTTTAATTTTATATCATTTACTTTTTTAATAGCATCTGGTGGTTTCTTGGAAAATGTGAAATTATACTAACCATCCACATGGCATGTATTCATTTGTGCAATTCCTAGGTAAGATCAGGAATTCAGCATGTCTGTGGGATAGAGCAAATACCATTGTCCCAGAATAAAGGAACATTAATAAATCATAAGGTCTGTGCTCTTGTTAGTCATACATAATTACTACAAACATTTCTGCAACTTATAGAAATGTCAGTTACACGATAGCCATCATAACTGCAGCATTATTTTCATAGCTGTTTTTCTCGGGTTCTGCTGGCTGTCGTAGAATAAGTTGTAGGAAAAATCATTTTCTTTCTTCCTGTTCCTACTTCTCCTTCATCAGTGTTGAGTTTATTCTGAACCCAAAGAGTAAAATTGCTGACTCTTTAGCATTTTGTAGGCTGTTCAAAGAAATGTGAAATTTGATCAGAGCAGCTGTAGTTCCATTCCTAGGCGACACTGAGGAAGAATTTAAATACCCCACTAAGAAAGCAGAGTGGCCAGGCACAAGGCGAATGCCTGTAGTCCCAGCACTTGGGCAACAGCGACAAGAGGATCAAGTCTGGCCTAGGCTTACATTGTCTTAAAACAAAAACAGAACAACAAAAGGCAGAATGAGCGAATCCACTCTAGCAATATGTGTGAGTCTCCGGTTTAAAATACCAATTCTGTGATGTAGCCAAGAAAATGAAATTGTAAACTAAACTACACCCATTGTATTAGAGTATGTGATTTTAGTTATTGATAGTACAACATAGGCAATATAAGAATATAATATTCTGCATTCTTTCTTTAAATCTAGCTTATGATTGATACACCTACCAGTCCAATTACCAGTGGACTTCCATTATTCTTTGTGATAACAGTAACCGCCATAAAACAGGTACGAAATACTTCATTGATTTCCCAAAATTCATTCAGAAGATGCTAAATATTTCTACTGCAAATTAGCATTCATTGTGAAAATAACTTCTATTAAAAAGCATCAAAGTTGTTAGATATGTGATTAGTTACATTTCAAGTACCTTGTGACTCATGAAGGATCACAATCAAAATATATTATTTTCTTGACACAGGACTCATCTAAACACAAA